CAGAGCAAAAATAGAACCATTAAAGAGGCATAATGCAAATGACATCATTGACAGTATTTTCAAAATAAATTCAGCTCTATAAACTTTTCCTCAAATATGTTTTTATTAGCTTCCCCTCTGCTGGAAACCAGGACTGCTAACGTTCAGGATACACCTACAGTGGAAGGGAGGACTTGTCGCAGGTGCCAAATTCACCTTTTTTAATAAATCCATTTAAATTCCAGCTTCTGAATTAGTGGACGTATTCACTGCCCTCACTTTTGGAAAACATTGTTTCCTAAGAACCCAAACAGAAGAATTTGATTTCTATTTTAACTTAATTCAGCCACAGCCTCTTTCAAGGTTTGTTTTCATGTTCTCACTACGGGAATCAGCTCTGCCACTGGCTTTTGCCAGGTCCGGCCATATTTCCCCACCTGGGCAGTGTTAGGTCTTTGCCGTAAGCTCTCAGAAAACTCTGGAAAACAGACAGGATGTTTTTTGCCAGGATGAGTGCTCTTGATCATGGAAGATGTACCCAGCGCTCTGAATTAAGGCTTGCACTGACATGTGGGAATAACTCTGACCAGAGGAGCCTGCCAGCTTGGCAGAGATGACTGCAGTTTGAGTGATGGCCTGGCATAGCTTGTGAGTCCTATAATCAATCAGTCTTTCCGCCATCTGGAAGAGAAAGGCTGCACGGGTTTCGAGGCAGCATCCAGAACTGAGGATTTTTGAAAAGCAACGGTGGCATTTGAGTTTATTCCTTTCTTTACTAATGCTACCCCAAAACTGGCCGGCAGTTTGTTTCGGAGCACAGGGTTGCGCTCTGGTTCTCTTCCCAAATGACAAATTCGCTGCCGCTTTTGGGAACGGAGAGTAAACCCGAGAGCTGAACTGGCAATAACAGAAGCTGCTGAGCTGGCTCTACCGAGATGTGCCACCCGGAGGCAGTTTGCATTTCATTATGTGGGTACACAAAGTGTCTGACACACCAGCAGGAAGAAAGGGCTGCTGAAAAGTGAGGTGTGATTATTATCTGAGCTTCAGAAACTGCAGCTCACTCTATTAATTCTTTTCACCCCACACAAAATACCATTTTCTATTCAAACAGATAGTATTTGTCAAAAGGGAATCCTGAAACTGTGATGCCCTCCAAGGTAGTAATTACTGATCCTGCTGAAATAGCGAAGCTCTGGAGAGACATTTTAACTTGAGGGTATTTCTTCCTGCATGATAAAGTTGCTCTTTGGATGTGACGGGCTCAAAACAAATCAAAGAGGTGAAATTCTCAACTGTATTAATGACCTGCGCTCCTGTGACTTGCAGAGTAGCTGTGAATTCTCCGCTCGCACCCCATGCCTCGCTCCCTCCTCTGTAATCCTCCTTTGATCCATAGGATGTCAGGCCAAGGAGAGCAGGAGGAAGGCAGAGCCCAGGCCGAAGGATTTCGAGGTGAGCTCTTGCAAATTACGCAGCCCTGCAAAGCAAAGAGCTTTGTGAGCTGCGCTGGCCTTTGGAGCAGCTGTGCGCTCTTTGCGTTGGCCGCTTGTATGGGCGGAGGAGCTCTTTTTGAAGGAAACTGGAGAGGATCTTAAAACAGTTGGCTCTGGAGTCAGCAAAGACTTCTTCTGCCATATCAAACAGAGCAATGTCTTTGTGATTGATACCCAGTGTCGTAACGCAGTAAGAGTCTTGCCTGTGCTCACGAGTCCGTGGCAGAGCCAGGATCGTACATGGTATCTCCCTCCTCCCAGGTCCTGTCGCAGGCTCCCCAAGCATCCCCCTGGGCTATGGGATACACCTTGGGTTCCTGTAGCTCAACACCCCACAGAAGTCGGGGTTCTTCCTCTGTCCTAACGAGCTGATCATGGACGGACCCTGTGTTGGTGCCTTCTCTGTTCTTCCACAACGCTGGGGAAAACCAACCGCAAAGGCAATCGAGTGGAGATCACACAGCTTAGAGCTAATGGAGAGAGCCGTGTGGTAACTGCAGATCGATTCCCTTACCATCTCTGCTCGGACACGCTAATCTCTGTACCCTGTCCCCCTCCATCTCCAACTGCTGGCTCTAATACCGAGAGCAGCATCTGTGCCCAGAGCTCACGGCTCGCCTCGGTACAGCAACCACCAGTGGGTCGGTTGCAGGTCAAGGGGTGGAATTATTTGTTTTCAAAGCTCCTGTAAACTGAGCTGTGTTTTTGTGACACTGTAAACAGAGGCACTTATTGTACCAAATAAAAAGACTCCCATTTGAGTTTAATAGGCGCAGCTGATTAAGCTCAGTGACATTTTTGATACTTTTGGGTGGATCTGAACTTGAAAACCTTTCCAAACTTGCTGAACTGACAGCTCTTTTCAGCTGACTGATGGATCCACCTGAGTGACGCTGTCGTCCATAGCCCTTTGGAGATCCTTCTGTGCAGTCCTGCAGCAGACTTAGCAAGGCAGGCAGCTGGCCTCTGTTTTCCAATGAGTCAAAACAACCATAAAATCAAATATAACAGTGGAGGAGTCACCTAAGCACACTGATAAACCTACCCCACTGTTTTGATTTCCTTATAACAAGCATAAATATATTTGCTTTGGTTACAAGAACATTTTTCTATTCCATTTATTCTGAAATTCCTCCTGCACTTTGTTCTGACAAATACTCAAACAATTGTTTATTTCCCTTTAAAGTTTTTAATTGTCCCTTACAGTGTTTAGATGTTCCCATCCCTTCTCCGGCACAGCCTACCCAGTGGAGGAATTCAGCTTTTCAGAATATAGGCTTTTGAGTGATGGAATTGCTGAATTTCTCCCCCAGGGTGGCTTCATAGTTTTAAAGTGGCAAGGCAATTTGGTCTCTGTTCTTTTGCTGATGGTTCACTACAGCAGAGGAAGAGTCCTGCCTACCTCCTCTCATACTTCTCAGGGCTTGCACTGGTCTGGCTTCATGGAATCCTCTCCTGGGCTATCCTGGAAAAGGAACTGAGTTTCCTTTGAAGAGATTTAGTGGTATTAGCAGTAAGGGACGGACTACCAGGAGGTCTCAGCTCCTCTTTTAGCTGCATAAGAAAAGGCTCAGCTCTTCAGAACTGCTCCCACCCAGCATCTCTCAGAGATCGGAGGAATTCCCTGCTGTTTTAGTGGAAGCTGCTGGATACTGAGGAGTTACGAAAATCTCGTCCTTAGGGTGGCAGAAGAAATCTGTTCTCTGTTACTAATCCCTGGGTAACAGAACAGGCCGAGGAATGCCTGAGCGCTGACCAGGGCAGGTAGATTGTAATGACTGTTGAGGTTTCAGAATACAGCGAACCAAGAGACTTTGGCAACCCCTCCCGGTAAATCCATTTCCTTCTTGTTTCTCTCCACCTCGTCCAACGCTGCGCTCATTTCTTTCTTTAGCACCAAGCCTCCCTACTGAGTAGTAAAAGGTTCATACTTTTCCAGAGAACAACATACACATCTTAACAGCCAGTCCATTAGTCCTTCAATGGTTATTTTAATTAACTAATCTGTTCAAAACATCAAGAGCCTGTTGAGCCATCTGGACTGATTAAAGTCACATATTGCATTACTAATGTGCTGATTAAATCCTTCATTTTGCTCCAAGCCCTAAGTGCATCCAAACGTTACCACTCAAAAGCTGCTTCACACAAACAGCTAGGAGGTTTGGATTTTGCCCGCGCGGGACCGGAGGGATTGCTTTAGGTTTGGGTAGAGGAGCGCTGGTAACCCTGTGCTGGAACAGCGAGGAAGGGCTGCCCGGGCATCGGCCAGCAGGGAGGCGAGCAGAGGATCCATGGCTGGGTTTCTTGGCAGACCTCTGAAAAAAGATCTTAGCGGCTTGTATGAGCAGCCAGCCCCTTCCTGGGGTGCTCGTACACGTGGCTGGGAGGCAGGAAAGGTGGGACTGTGGTGTCAGGTATTCCCTGCGGTGGAAATTCCCTATTTACTAGCAGGATTTGGGGAAAGAAGAGGCGGTGTTCCCTGAGACAGCCTTCTGACTGGGTCAAGAAGGATTTAAACTGTTAGAGATAGAATTTACCAAAGATGCTAAAGTATCTTAGGGTACAAATCATACCCCTTCGTCTTTGCTGAAATCTACAGGCCGGCTGGTGAGTGTGCCATGGGAACGACCTCGGCTCAGCCTCACCGCACTTTTCCTCTCCACAGAAAAACCCCGCTATAAATCCGCCTTGCAATTCTTTGCTCCCAAGCGCTTCCTTCCATTTTGGCTGTGAGCGCAACAGCAGAGGAGATCTTGGCTGTCGTTCCTTCAAATGTTCAGCTTGCACAGGACACCGAAACAGAGAAGGCAGTTTCTGCCTTTCCAGCCAGGTAGCCCTTGGCATATGACAACAATAACCTTGCAGAGGAGGTTTTCTCTCCCTCTCGTGCCCTGACTGGCAGAGTCCATTCCAACATCCATCTCAGAAGGGGTTTACAATACAAATGGGTGGGGTTTTGCATGTATTGTTGACTAATTTGGTTTACAAACCCTTAACTCCCAGGTTCCTGGTTTTATGTGGTGTGGGACAGGTCAGTGCACCTTCCAGCCAAGAACCTTAACACACTTGGTAGCTGTTGTGAGGTTTAATGTATCCTAATTTAAATGAGATGATAATCTTTGCTTTTACAAGGGAGCTAAGGCACAGGGAGGACACGTGATTTAGCAGACAACAGGGAGATGAACTAAGAGAACTTGTCTCCTACCTGGGCGTCTCTCACCATGGCAGATATCCGCCTCTCTTACCCTCGCGGCACCCAGAACCTGGGGGTTTGTAACTCGGCAATGTCTGAGCGTTTAAATGTACACTTCTTAGAGGAAAAGTAACCCAGCAGAAGTGTGTGCCACAAAGGGCGCAGCCAGTTCAGGTTACGCAGTGGACGACTGCGTTTTTCAGACCTCGTTCTCTCAGCCTTTCAGAGCTAAAGCCAAGTCTCACAGCAGCGGTGGCTTTTGAGATGAAGGACTTGACTGAGCTGGCTTCCCCGCAGCTTTCCCACTAACGGGACTAACTTGTTGCTTGCAGGTAAACGGCCACCTGGACTACATGAAGCAAATGGACACAATCCTAAAAGCCGTGGGCATTAAAACCAAGGAGCGTCAGCTGGAAGAGAAGGGCAGCGGCGGTCTTTTCTCCCCTCTAGCCAAGAAATCACAGCGGGCAGCAGGCAGCGACACTCGGGAAGAGGAAAACGCCGTGCAAGAGGAGGATGCGGCTGACGGTGAGGCTCTCCCCGCCGGCCATGCTTCCTCCAGCTGTATCTTGGGAGAAACCTTGCTCCCCTGCCCAGACTGCTCAAACAGTGGGGACAGCAAGGAACAGGCAGTGGGCGAAGGAGAAAATTAGAACTCTTCGTGTTGGGCAGAGATGCTCAGCCAGCACTAAAACCACTTTCAAAGCACCGTCCGTTGCACTGGGGTTCCCAAAGGAGTATCGGGAGAGCTGGCAGAGCTGTAGCTGCAGTTTTCAGACCCTCCTGAGAGCCTGGAGCGCAGCACCGGCCTGTCACTGGATCACAGCTTCCCAAGCAGCCACCCACGGCGTCTCCCATGGACCAGAAAGGGCTGATTCCTGCCTGAAGCAGCATTGCTCTTCAGGAAGCAGCAGCACTTCCCTCCTGACACAAACTGGGTTTATTCTTGAGGGAAGCAGCTGTCACCATTGGGGACTGTGTCTCTGCTGTATAACTCTCAGGAAAGCAGGTGGCTCCGTGGGTATTTTTAAGCATATCATGGAGAGGGGCTCATCACTAGGAAATTAAAAGCAGTTTTCCATCAGTGGTCGATTTGGGGTTTGGTTTTGGTGTGAGCAGGTGCGTTGCAGGCTCTGGCTGCCCAGCTACGTAGTCTCGGCATCGACGCTTCGGCTCAGCTAGCTGGGGAGGCAAAAGGCTCGGCCGACCTGGCTTCTTCCCCCATCTGCTGCCAGTTTGCTGCGGGGCTTGGGCACTTTCCAATCCACGAGACTGTTTCCCTATCTGCAAGCTGAGGGCGATGAGTGTTCGAGGCCTCATGACTATTAGAAACATGCTCTGAGTCCCTAAGTGAAAGACAGCAGAAGAAACAGAGTGGGCTTTTCATGATTTATTACTTTGTGAAACTTCCTCCCAGGCTTTGCAAGCCAGCAACCCACAGAGACTTTCGTTTCGTGTCCCACACACATCTCCAGCCTTAAAAGCCCCCTCTAGACATATTTTTAATTGGCTTAGAATAAAACCAATACTTGGCATAGAATAAACATGAATCTGTTTGATTTCTACCTCCTTCCATAGAAGCGAATTGGCATCCACTCTCTTCTCACCCGGTCTCAAACCGGAGGGAGGGATGCTGCTTTACATCCCCCGCTACGCAGAATCTTCCAAAACGGCATGGGACTGGTCCACGTCTTCCGTAAAAAGTCCTTTTCTGGGCCGTTTTGCTGCTAAGCCCAAGAAAATGCATCTAGCGGGAACATGGCAGGAGGATGAGCCCTCTTTGAGAGCACCTCGGGTTTTTTCTGGTTTAAAACAAGTGCCAGATGGTATAAATACCTTCCCACATCAGGTCTGGAAGGTCTCGTTGGCTCACGAGAGGGGAAATAGTACGACTGCAGCTTCCGATTCCCGTTCACAGGGAGTCCTCCTCCTCTCTCCCCGTTCCAGCAGTTTATTAACCACCTCTCCTTTCTTTCCCGAGCTTTCTGCAAACCTTACCTCCAGATTATTTCTCACAACGTTGAAAATGCAGCTGTTTCCAGGGGTGCCGGTGTCACCTGGCACTGCACCGCAGCTTTGGGTACGCTGCCTGGCTTTTCCTCTCCCCAGTTCCCACCCTGAGGGGGACTCAGACCTGCTCAGCTCCGATTCTGGAGCGGTGCCTTGCTGCAGAGCGATGGGAGATGTTTCTGCGAGAGGCTTTGGGATCCCACGGGGACAGACGGGCCTGTTTTGCTGGTCGGCACTGACACTGTTGGCTGCGGGAAAGGGATACGATTTTCCCACCGCCTCAGAGGATTTCCACAAAAAATTGCCTCGACGAGAGAGTAACATATTATTGCTTTGAACATTTGGCTTGAAGAAGCAGTCTCTGTCCATCTCCTGAAGCCTCTGTCTGCCGACTTGGTTACCAATGGACTTTCAGAGTTCATCGAGCATTTTTCTACTCCTTTTTAACTGGAATTGCAGTCAAAGTACATTTTTCTATAACGCCATTTGTGGAAAGATGTACATCTTTGTGCTTGATACCAGACCCGGGCTGTCTGTCTGCGGACAGGTGCCAAAATATATTAAATGGATTGATGCTTGAACCTGTGCTCAGTCCGTTTGTCACGACCGTTTGTCCCTGACCACTGGGCCAGCCGCCGGTTGCAGGGGATTTGTAGGAAATAAATGTCAAATCACTCATAAAACCTCTTGTTGTTCAGTTCTGGAATGTACGTGGGCAATGAAAACTAATGAGACCTGCTTGGCGCGTGGCTCCAGCATCCCATACCCTCAGGTGCTTTGTATTCATTCGTATAATCGTGAGGGGCGGGAGCAGGATCGAACTCGTTAGTGTGAGCTCGGAAATAGGCAGCAAGGCATGTAGGGTACAAGTCCCACCAACGACCAACCCATCTTTGCATCTGAAAGGCACTTGAGGACAAATTTGCCAAAAGCATTTGTTGTTTTATTATTATTTTTAAGTGCCTACTTCCCATATTATTCACTGTTCTCTCTGCTTATGGCTGGGGCAGGGCTGGCATTGTCATTTAAAAGACGATATCCGTTTCGATTCTTATTTGAAGGGAGAAAAAAAAAATCTTTTCTAATTGCATCATCTAAAAACTGACGGATTGTCAGAGCAAAGTACGATGGTCATGTGCCAAAAATAGGAAGCTGTGGGATGGAATCTAAAGGGAAGCTCATCTCTGTCAGGATACCCATAGAGCCACAAGCAAGTCCCACACCCACACCCTTGCTGAACATTCGAAGTGCAGCGTTGAACATTTTGCATCAAATTTAATCCCCCGTTGTGCAGGCTGTTCACGATTAAACACGACGGTTTCACTGTGTTGCCGCTCACTGCTTTCGCAGGAAACTGAGACAGACACGGTCCAAATCGGGCAAGGAAATTAAACTCCAAGGAGATAGGATGTTCTGTGGGCTGAAGCTGCCCCAAACCTCCTGTCCATGAGTCATGGCCCGTGGTTTCCACCATTCTTCTCAGTGCATTTGGTGAGACAGAGGTGATCTGCTGAGCTGCGGGAGTGGAAGCTGAAAAGCAAGCCTTGGCTTAAGTTTAGGGAGACGGAGGCTGGCGGAAGGGTCTGGAGTCTGAGGTTCAGACTAACCAGGGATGAAAAGGCCATGAGAAGCAGCTCTCAGAGAAGGATTGGTGACGGTGAGCAAAGGGATGGAAGGAGAGAGAAACAAGTAAAACCAGCAGTAAAACCTGGCTTTGCACTGTTTACACCTACCCGCAGAAGTGCTCGGTGACGACGTCGTCTTCATGTTGCATTTGAAGAGAGTTTCAAGCAGCCACACGTGGGGAGAGAGGTGTCCCGTGGCAAATCAGCCCTCTGGAGAGTTTGCGTTGGGCTGGGGGATCCTTCCCAGCACACGGAGGTCCATAACCCCCCGTCGGCATCTCCCCCACGGACGCCCTCACTCAGGCCACAGGGGTGCTGAGCTGCTTGGGCTGCAGCTCCGTGTCCGGGGGCTCCGTGTCGAAAAAGTTGGCCAAACGGGTGCCGGAAGCCGGGAGAACTCGGGATCCGTTGCCAACCGGCAACAGGCTGTGTTCGTTCCCCAGCGCCCCGGAGTCGACCGAGTCGGTCTCGGCCTGCAAGGTGAGGACGTTCTTGAGGGACGTGGCGGCGCGGGGTCCGCTGTGGGAGTTCCTCATGGAGAGGGAGATGGCGCTGGGACGGGGCTCCCCCGAGCGCCGGCAGCAGGGCAGGTATTTGCCCATGGCCCTCTTGAAGTCCCTCATGAAGAGCGGGTAGATGATGGGGTTCATGGTGCTGTTGCAGTACCCGAGCCAGGTGAGCACGTCGAAGAAGCCGGCCGGGACACAGCTGCAGACTGCCTGGCAAGGGGACACAGCAGGGATTAGCAGCTTTTCCCACATTTTCCTTTCAAAGGAATCCTCCAAAACGCTTTCAAAGGGTTTTTCCTTGCCGTTGCTCCTGGGGGGGGAAACTGCATCTTTGGTCCCAGAGGCTTTCCAGCAAGACCTGCAGGTAGCTGAGATCCGCCCCAGCTGGATTCAAAATGAAAAGCTTTTGAAAAACCTGACATAAAACCCCCGGTACGTACTTACCTGCATCACGTTGGTGATGAAGAAGGGGAGCCAAGCCACGAAGAACATGCCCAGGAGGATGCCCAGCGTCAGGCTGGCCTTCAGCGCCTTCTTGCTGTGCTTGTTGGCGAACCTCCTGCTCTCGCTGCCGGCCACGGGCAGACTCGGGGCGCGGGGAACCTGCAGCAGGCGACGAGGTGGTGAGCAAGGGGGGAGGGGTGGGTGAGAAGGAGCTTCTCCCCGGGCTGGAGCCGCCGGCACCGGCCTCCTGCCCAAGAAAAGTGGCGTTCGGTGCTGCAAATCCTGCAAAAACCCCCCGCTGTGATTTCCCTTCTCGCAAGGGGCAGGAGGATGGCACACACCGCAGTCCCTGAACCATAAATCAGGAAGAGGAAGGAATAAAAACCCTCAACATTGAAAGGATTTTTTTTTTTTTACTGTAAAACGGGAGGTGCATCGTTAAGATGCTTCTTTTAGAGAAAAATCCAACTCAGTCAATGTTTTGCTGAGGATAAAGCATGCCCTAAAGAGGCAGCTCTAGCTGCTGATTAGAGCAGCAAACTAATTATATTTTTAAAAAGCAGGATGTCAGGCATTTCAGCCTACAACCACCATAACTAACTCAGTCCTCTATCCACTCTTGCAATCGAAAATTAAGTTATTACCTCAGCCCTCCCCCGTAATTAAACGAGGCCCCGTTGCCACTCAGCTTCCTGCCCCAAAAAAAGAGAACAAAAATCCAGATAAAAAGATGAAACCCGAGGGTTCCCTGGCTGACACGTTGTTTTCAGCTCACCCTCCGCCCGAGCCGACTCGGGGCTCCTCGGAACCTGCTGGGACATTTGCCTCTGCTGAAATGCGGGGTGGGGGGGATGCTGGTTTTTCACAGCAGAGCAAAGCACCTGAGCATCCCCCGGTCCCGCAGCACCCATCGGGGGGGGGGGGGTGCGGGGAAATAAACATTTTATGATATTGTCAGTTTATTCTTTGATTCTCATTGAAAGTCTGGTACTTCTTACAATGTGTGGGAGAGCTGGCTGGGTCAGAGAGTCCTGGCTCCTTTCTTAAGAGAGAGAACAACAAACTAAATCAAGGTATTTAAAGGCAATTAAGTTTGTCTTTTCCCTGTAGGATGTGAGGTCAATAAAGCCTATTACAGGGAATTAAAACTGTTAGATTTAGTGGCAATTACCTTTTCCCGGAGAAATACAAACAAGTGCAGCCACGTTTTTGTTACAGAAAACACACACGCCGGTTTAACCAGCAACCGAGGAAGGAGGTATTTTGTGGTTCCTGTTATAGACCAGGCAACAAAAATAGAAGCTGGCTGTTCAAAATAAGGTGCTCTCCAGAATTTGGTATTTGCTATTATTTAAAATCCTTCTCCCCCATATGTCTCACGCCCACCATGGCCAAGATTTCCGAGTGGAAAGTCAGATAAGATTAAAACCCTCTGGGATGACGCTAGCCAAGAAGGGGGCGAAACCGCATTTATTTTGTGCCGCTGAGCATTTTCGCCTGTATCTTAATTTATTTCTCAGTTCCGCTCATGCTGTTTCTGTGCTCCTGAGCAGCGTAAAAGCACACCATCACCCCGAGGCCGTCCCGAAGGCAGAAGCACCGCAGGCCCCCCCAAACTACAGGGGTCTGCGAGAAGCAACGTCCCTGTGGCCACCTTACCTGTGGCGTGGTCTCGTCGGCGGTGGCGGTGGCCACGTTGGAGGCGAGGGAAGCCACCTGCACCGCTTGCTTGCGGGCTGCCAGGAGGATGCGGCAGTAGGTGAAGGAGATGGCGGCGGACGGGAGGAAGAAAGTCAGGCAGGAGGCCACCAAGGCATAGGGCAAGCTGACCAGCAGCCGGCACTGGTCCTCCTCCCCTCGGGAGGTGACGTTTGGGGACCAGACCTCAAACTCCAGCTCGTGCCAACCCATCTTGATGGGCAGGAAGGAGGCCAGCGCAGCCAAGGTCCAGGTGGCCAGGATGAGCCAGAGGGCCCTGCAGGAGGTCATTCGCAGCTTGTATTTGAGGGGGGAGATGATGAGCAGGTAGCGGTCCAAGCTGATGACACAGAGGTTGAGGATGGAGGCGCTGCAGCACATGACGTCGAAGGAGTACCAGAGGGAGCAGAAGTCGCCCCGCAGCACCCAGCGACCGTAGAGCTGGTTGAGCATGGCTGGGGGCATGACCACCAGCCCCACCATCAGGTCGGACATGAAGAGGGACACCAGGAAGTAGTTGGAGGTGTTGCGGAGGGAGCGTTGGGTGACGATGAGGAGGATGAGTAGGAAGTTCCCCGCCGTGGTCAGCAGGATGATAAAGCAGAGGAAAGCGGCCACCCAGCTGCTCCCCACCAGCAGCGAGCGGTCCCCCAGCACGCTGGCGTTTGGGGCCCCCAGATCGGCCTCCATGAGGAGCCGGGCAGCAGGGCTGGCTCCAGAGCAGGGGGACCTTCTCCAGCCGTGACTTGTGCTAGGTGATCATCGCCGGAGCCACCTCCAGGGGAAGGAATACCATCTCTCCATCTCCACGCTGTGTCCGTCCTCCTTTCTCCTCTCCTCCTCCTCCCCCTCTCTTCCCCCACCCTCTCTTCACTGGCAATCAGGGCAGAGTGACATTCCCAGGAGCCGATCAGCAGTAGCGAGGTTCCCCTCCCCGTTACTCACAGCCAGGCATTTCCTTGTCCCTGCAAATCCCGCTGAGCTGGGATGTCCCTGGACACTGCTGCTGGATGCTGGGGATGCTCTGGACACTGGGGAGGCTTGGGATGCTCTGGATGCTGGGATGCTTGAGATGCCGGGGATGCTCTGGATGGCGGGATGCTCTGGATCAGGGAATAATCTGGACCCCAGGATGCTCTGGACGCAGGATACTAAAGATGCCAGGGATGCTCGGGACCCAGGATACTCTGGATGCTGGGATGCTCTGGATCTCAGGACACTTCAGATGCCAGGCATGCTCTGGACCCAGGATGCTCCAGATGCTGGGGACGCTCCGGACCCCCAGTGCTCAGCTCTTGCCCCCCTCAGCAGAGCTTGGCTACCTGCAGAGCTCTGTCCCCTGGGGCAGCGGCCCCCCCCCAGCTCCTTGGTGCCT